CCCCCACACCCAGTGAGAGCGACCCCCTCTTGGGACCCCGCCCCCCCACCCTGGGCTGTCGGTACTTGTCCGGTGAGAGCGCCCCCTGCTGGCCCTCCACCGTGGGCCCCCCTAGTGAGAACACTGCCCCACCCCCGATCACCGCGAGATGCAGCCCCGGGCTCTTGGCACCGCCCCCCCCGCCCGGTGACCCCGAGACACAGCTTTGCATGCCATGTTAATGCAAAGGGCCGGCGAGGGGGGCCCTGCCTCTCGGAACAGACTCCACCACCCAGAAATGCAGTAAACCAATCCAACTCCCCAGGCCCTCTCCCGGGAGACAGGAAGGCCGGCCTGGGCTGACCCTCTCCCTGGATCCAAACAATCCAGATTACCAGGGGAGTTCATCCCAGGCAGGACACATCCTGCAGCCCCTCCGCTCCCCGCCAGAGCCGCTGGTTGGCCAGATTCTGTTGAGGCCCCTGGGCACAAGGCCCAACCCCCATGCTGCTGGGGGGCTCAGCAGATCATCACGAGGGGTCGCCCTGTGACGCAGCTGGCACAATTTGAACTCCCATTCCTACAGAGTGGTGGGGAAATACCCCAGCTTATTCCCCTGTGCAGCGTCGCTGTGCTCTGATACCAGCTGCCGGGCCCCACCCCAGAGGTGGCTGCATTTCAGTGCTGGGTGAGCCATCCCCGTGCAGCGTTGCGGTGCGGCTGTGAAACAACTGGCCTACCCCACCCCAGAGGCGGGCGCATTCCAGCAGGGCCGCGCAGGTAGGGTTTGGGCTCCCCGGGCCGCGAGATATGTCCCGGGGACAAGGCTGAAGTGTCCCCTTTGCCCCCGCCCGGCGCTGTAGCCTCCCTCCAGGCCTGGCCGCCCGCCAGGCTGGGAAGTGACTGTTTCTGTTCAGAGCCAGTGAGTTACACAATGAGAAAAACAAGCAGGAAATTAATATCCAGCGCATCGCAGCAGCTGCCCTGGGGCTGGGTGCACAAGTACGCCAGGGACGGCCGCATATGGTGAACGCACGCACACACCAGCACGGGGGGGCGCACACACACAAAACTGCAGGCAGACATGTGCCCCCCCATACCCTAGCCAGCAGGGGACAGCGGAGACACAACCTCTGCCCCCAGCTCCAATCCCATTGCAGGACTTTTACCCGCCCTCTCCCCGCACTGAGCCCCACCGGGGGCTACTGCCAGGGCTCCAGTCTCAAACCTCCGCCCTCAGCCGTTTGCAGGTTGGTTCCTTTCTCCCAGGACAAGCCCCGACAGGATTCTGGTAGAGCAGGGAGGGCTGGGCCAACCCAGCCATCTGCTGCATGTGGGAGTCAGGCCAGGAGCTGGTAAACTAGGGGGGTTGGGGGAGGTCATAACCCAGGGCCCTAAAGGCACAAGTCAGGTGAGTGATGGGATTGATGGTCACAACACCATTCAGCCCGTCCCTGCTTTAACCACTAGACCCCACGCTCCTCCCAGAGCCGGGGCTAGAACCCAGGAGTCCTGGCTCCCAGCCCCTCCCTGCTCCACCCGCTAAACCCCACTCCCCTCCCAGAGCTGGCGCTAAAACCCAGGCAGCCTGACTCCTAGTCCAGTGCCTTCCTCGCAGGCCTTTGCCCTATGCCTCAGGTGGTATTTGGTACCGAGCCACCCTGGTCTATTAACGTGCCCCTTTCCGAGGGCCTGGGGTGCCCCCGGCCAGGCTTGAGGGTGAGGGGCTGTGCCCTGCCGAGGGAATCAATCCAATCACCCAGCCCTGCTTTGTACCTGTTCCCTCGCTCCTCAAACGTTAGCTTGAAAACACCTGGCACAACCACACGGCAGCGCGTGGCTGGGCACATCCCCGACCTCCGCACCATGGGAGCTTCCCCCCTTCCCTTTTCTCCCAGCTGATGAGCCCCACGCTAACAGCTGGACCTCGTTAAGGACAGCTGGAACCGCGGGCCTTCCCCCCCCCCAACAATCCTCTCTGTTCCCCAGCTGTTGGCTGGTGCAAAGCTCCCTCCCCTTCACTGCATCTGCCAGAATTGGGTCAGTCCCCGTGGCCGCTGTTTATCTTGGGCCGAGCGGGAGGTATCAGGACTCTTTCCACCCTGGATATATCCCCAAGAGGGAACTCATGTCAATTGCATCGGTTTGGGGTCCAGAGTGCTGGGCCGTTTTACTCCCACCCCCGTCCAGGAACCCATCCAGAGCTGGCTGCTAGCCTGGGGGAAGGGCGAGAGGGCAGGCTCCCATTTTCCCTTCGCAAAGGCCACATTTCTAATCCTGGCTGTCGTTACTGGAGTGTTTCTGTTGTTACAGTGGGAGCCCTGGGCGGGGGCGGGGGAGGGGGCATCACTGCACATTGTCTTCCAAGTTCTTAGCGTGCGAGCAAGTGGTCTGTCCTTGAAGACATGCCGTGGTGTTTGATCATGTTCTTATGGGGCAGGGGTAGTGGCAAGCAGTGGAGGAGTTTGCTCCAAAGCCAAATTCTTCATAAGTCAGTCAGGTCAGGTCTGGTGCTTCTTACCCTGCCAGTGGCTTCTTGATTGAAGCTGCTGGCAACATGGTGGCAGTAGTGGGATTAGAACCCATGTCTCCATAGCAGCTCTTAGCAACCATTTCCCCTCCTGCTCATAAACCTGCTGGATCCATGGGGAAGCCACAGCCATGGTTTGCCTGATACAATGAGGTTGAAAGAGAGAGAGAGAGAATGTGTGTGTGTGTGTCCCTGTGTGTGTGTGTGTGTCCCCGTCCCATCCAGGGGAGCCAGACTGACTCCCTCTTCCACATGCATCCAGGGACTGTCAGAAACGCTAGGAGCCACAGTGTGGGATCACAGAATGGGCCATGTGGTCCAGTGATTGAAGCAGGGGAGACCGGGAGTCAGGACTCCTGGGTTCTATCGCCAGCTCTGGGGTAAGGAGTGGGGATTAGTGCTTAGAGCAAGAGACAGTCAAGACTTTGTTCAGTGCCCTACTGTGTGACTTTGGTCAGGTCACAGCCTCTCCCTGTACCTCAGTTTCCCCCTGGTGTAAAACCGGCTCATTATCCCTTATCTCCGGGGCGCGGCTTTGCTTGGTTACCCCGTCTGCCCTGGGGCTCCGAAGGAGCAGATATGGTTCCCGCTATTGTTCCCCTGAGCCTAGCGCTGGGAGTCACACAGCCCCTGTTCCCACTGGGGTATAAAGGAGTCATTCATGGCAGCTTTGAAAGGAACTCACAGCCCTCCCCCAAGAGGCTGTCGTGAAAGTCGGAGGCAGGAGACAGACGGGGGCCTGCCTGGATTCCCCCTGGGGATTTCTTTATTGGGCCTGCTGATACCAATCCTGAATTCCTCAAAAGGCCAAAACACTTGATGAACGATGCAGGGACTGCTTGGCCCAGCTCTGAGATGCAGCCAGCTCTGGGGTGAGGCCTGGCAGCTGGTTAACAGCCACACAGCACCACTGCCCAGTGTTCCCTGTGGAGCCACTATTCCTGTCCCTGCCCCACAGCACCCCCTAGCATCACAGTGGGGCATGGGGGTTGGCACTAAGATCCCCCACCCCCCTGAGTAGGGGCACTGTTGGCCTTTTTGGGTCTCCTTAGCTTACAGGCTCTAGTCACACAGGCCTTGCTGGTGCCACATCCAGGGCCAGCCGGGCTGCAGTAGCTGCCTGTGGGCATGCCTTGGGCCTGATCCTCCCCTCTCCTGTGCCCAGCTGGCGAGCTCAGCTCATCTAGGCCAGGCCCTCCTGCTGGCCCCCAACCCCATCGGCCCAGCCCCCCCAGGGCCCAGCTGCAGGGCCGGCTCCCCCATCGCAGCGCCGCTCCCAGGGTCAAGGACTTGAGTGGAATGTCTCCCAGCGCTAGGCCTACCGCAGTGTCCAGAGCCGCTCGGACAGGACGGGGCCGGGCGGAGCGACGGAGCCACTTCCCTAGCGGGAGAACGGAGCCGTGTGTTTCTCTGGGGTTGGGACCGTCAGCCAGGGGGTGCTACTGGATCCCACCTCCCACCCCTCTGCTGTACATCAGCCCCACCAGTGCCTCTCAATCCCGACCCACAGCCCCGGGATCCCCCCAGCTCCGCCAGTGTCCCTCAGTCCTGATCTGCAGCCCCCTGTTATACTAGCTCTGGGATCCCGCCTCCATCCCACAGTCCTGTGGTGCCCCTCAATCCCGACCCACAGCCCCTTCTACCTCAGCCCAGGGATTCCCCCCCAGCTCCGCCAGTGTCCCTCAGTCCTGATCTGCAGCCCCCTGCGATCCTAGCTCTGGGATCCCCCCTCCATCCCACAGCCCTGCGGTGCCCCTCCATCCCGACCCACAGCCCCTACTACCTCAGCCCAGGGATTCCCCCCCAGCGTCCCTCAATCCCGACCCTCAGCCTCCAACTATCCCAGCCCCCTGGGCTCCCGCCCCAGCTTTGCCGGTGCCCCCACACTTGATTTACAGTCTTCCTGTTATCCTAGCTCTGGGCTCCCCGCTCCACCCCACTGCTGTGCAGGTGCCTCTCAATCCTGACCAGCAGCCCCCCCACTATCCTAGCCCCCTAGGTTTCCCCCCCCCAAGCTTTGCCGGTGCCCCTCAGTCCCAGCCCACAGTCCCCTGCTAGCCCATCCCTGGATCCTCCGACCCGCTGATTGTACGGTGGAAAGGAGAATAAAACAATAGCCCCTATTAGTTAAAAGTGTCGGGGGGGGGGGCAGGGATGGGATAGTTTCCCTCCCCCCATCCCAATCCCAGCGCACAAGGACGCAGCCCCAGGACGCAGCTGGAAGAAGCATTATCAGCCGGGAGGAATGTGGGGAGGATCATCTGCCAAGACAGAGCGGCCAGGCGGCTCCTGCGTGAGCTAGGAATTAGCCCCTCCGTCCCCCAACAATCCCCCCCCGACAGCCCCCTCCTTCACCCCCCCGCCCCGATCTCCCGCTTGAGTCTTGGAGGGCAGCCGCCAAGGCAGGGCTTGCAGAGAGGACGAAAGCCCCTTGCCTGAAACCCCCGGGACCGACCCATGCTCCCCACACCAGAGCCAGCCCCAGCCCAGGTGATTGTCTGTACCATTTATTACAAAAATACCATTCACATTATCAGGGCTGGCTGGGCATGGGGGGGCGAGAGGCACAGTCCAGCCCCCCCCCCGGAGGGGGGGCCTGGAAGCGTCTGAGAACGGGAGCCACTCGTGGCACGGATGAGCCCCCCCTGTGGACCCCACTCCTAAGGCCCAGCAGCCCGTGGTTCATCCTTCATGTTCGACCACCTGCCGCTCTCCCCGCGCTCCTCATCCCCCTGTCCATCAATCACAGCCCTCCTCCCCGGCCGCGGAGAGGGGAGGGAGGGGCCATTTCATTGGAGGAGCAGAGTCCAGGAAGGTGGCCAAAGCGTATCATGCAAATCGTCGTCATAATCCTTCCGTGAGCTGAGAAATCCCACTGCGTGTGGGGGCGGTGAGGGGAGAGGCGGGACTTCCTGTAATGCCCATGTCAAAGGAAGGCGGGACTTCCTGCAGCGTTCCTGTGATGGCCGTGCCAAAGGCAGGCGGGACTTCCTGCCATGCCCTTGCCAGAGGAAGGTGGGACTTCCTGCGATGCGTCTGCAATATCCATGTTAGAAGGTGAGACTTCCTGCCATGCCCTAGCCAGAGGAAGGCAGGATTTCCTGCGACGGACAGAGGAGAACTCCGCCCAACAGGAAGCCTTTCGGGAGGTGGCGACGACCTGACCCAGGGCAGGCATCCAAGAGGAAATTAAAGTGCTTGGAAAACAGCCGGCGGCGACCAGAGCAACACAGGAAAGCCCAGCCCTGCCAGAGAGGAAGCACATGGGGCCACGTGCTCTGTGGAGGAGCAGAAAGCGGGGCTGGCTCTCCCGCCGCCGTGCGGGGGCCTGCTGGGTGCTGGTCCCAGCAGGGTGATCCCTCTAGCCCCCCGTTCCGGCACGACGCCTAGCAGTTGGTGTGGCCGCTGGAGTCCGGGCTATCGGGGCAAAGCGGGGGCAGGCGGGAGGCTGGGGCCTTGTGGCGGAACATGCCTGAGATGTGGAAGGCCTGGAAGGAAGAGGAGAGAGAGAAAAACGGGGTGTGAGGCAGGAGAGACCTAAAAGGAGGGGGGCGGGAGAGAGCTACTCGCACTGACATGACCCTGCCCCCCACCCCGCTCTCGGGGCGGGGGTTTATTCCCCAGCTGGAGGGGAAACTGAGGCAGGCTCTAGTTTAGCCATAGGCCCAGGCTATAGGGTGAATCAGTATGTAAGGCAAGAATAGGACCCCGCAGCTCCCCCTGCTCTAACCCATCCCCTCCCACTCCCAGAGCTGGGGATAGAACCCAGGAGTCCTGACTCCCAGCCCCAGGTCGCTTCCCCCCTCGGTGCTTCAGTTTCCACATGAGTCCAAGGGAGTTCACACCTCCTGCTGGGGCTGTGCTGTGCTAAAGACCCCCAGGGGTTGTGGGGAGGGAGCTGGGCCGCTGGGCCCCCAGGGAAGGGGCGGGGAGGTTGGCCAGGAGCCCTGTGATGAGGGAAGATTTCCTCCCTGTTGCCTGTTCTAAGGCTGAAGCAGGAGGCGTTTCCTGTGCTGTTTCCTGTCAGCTCGCAGCTCCGGCCCTGGGAGCGACGGCGTTTCGGCCCCTCAGCTCCTGGCTGGTTGCACAGCCCCCTCCCCCCAAGGCCGGGTGTGGGGAGAACACGGGGGAGAATCCCGGCCCTGGCTCCAGCGCCTGCCACGCAAGGAGGTCAGAGCATTCTCCACACGTTCCCTCCACCGCTGCGACCCCCGTAGAGAGGGAAAGGGACTGGCCCAAGGTCAGACGAGCCAGCAGCAGAACCAGGAGTCCTGGGTTCTGGCCCCCACACTGATCTAACTGCTAGACACCGCTCCCCTCCCAGAGCTGGGGAGAGAACCCAGGAGTCCTGACTCCCAGCCCCCCCTGCTCTAACCACTAGACACCGCTCCCCTCCCAGAGCTGGGGAGAGAACCCAGGAGTCCTGACTTCCAGCCCCCCCTGCTCTAACCACTAGACCTCCCCTCCCCTCCCAGAGCTGGGGAGAGAACCCAGGAGTCCTGACTCCCAGCGCCCCCTGCTCTAACCACTAGACCCCACTCCCCTCCCAGAGCTGGGGAGAGAACCCAGGAGTCCTGACGCCCAGAGCCCCACCCCAACTCTAACCAATAGACTCCCCTCCCTGAGCTGGGAATAGAACCCAGGAGTCCTGACTCCCAGCGCCCCACCCCAACTCTAACCACTAGACCCCACTCCCCTCCCAGAGCTGGGAATAGATCCCAGGAGTCCTGGCTCTCAGCCCACCCTGCTCTAAATCCTAGACTCCACTCCTACACTCCACTCCCTCTGCCAGAGCTAAGAATAGAACCCAGGAGTCCTGGCTCCCAGAACCCCGGCCCCCTCACCCGCTTTAACCCACTAGACCCCGGAGCTGGGGAACGAACCCAGGAGTCCTGGCTCCCAGCCGGGCTCATGGACGGAGCGTGGGGTGGGCTGGGACATGGACCCCAACGGTTTAAGAAACCAGACACACTCCTCACACCTCCGGGAGCCGGGCCAGAGGCGAGCTGGTGACCTAGAGGGGTCCAGGCACTGATCCGTCCTGGACAGGGGGCCGGCCAGCCAGCCAGGGGCTCACACTTACCACCCAGTAGGCGATGAGCGCCCCCTGCAGGAAGCCCACGGCCACGTCCGAGGGGTGGTGCCAGTAGTCAGAGATGCGGGTGAGGCCGGTGTAGAGCGCCAGCAGCAACAGGACGAACTGCAGCAGGGGGCGCAGCAGACGAGCACCCCGCCAGGTTAACCGCGCCTGCAGGTAGAACTGGGGGGCGGGAGGGGGGGAGAAGAGGGGTGGTGAGCATTGGGGGAGGGTGCTGCTCCTGGTCCCCACTCCCCCCAAACGCTGCTGCTCCCACCTCAAAACCCTACCAGCTCCCCCCTTGCGCACCGATTCCTGCCCCCTAGACCCCATGTCCCGCCCCTCACGCCCCACCCCCAAACCCTGCTGCCCCCAAATGCTGCTCCCCCATCCCCTCCCCCCACCCAGCACAGCAAGAAGAATAAAGGGCATCTGAGCTGGGGGGCTACCCACAGTCCTAGTCGGTGGCGTCACCGCTGCCCCCGCCCGAGACACGTTCCCAGCCCCCCCCATTCAGGCCCGTCAGCCGGGGACGCATAAAGGACCTGTTTGTGCTGCTCCCCAAGGGAACAATGGGCCCTTCTCCATCGCTAGCCACACGGACCCAGGCATCCGGGGAGGGGGAAGGGGCCATTCGGGTGCGGTGGTGGCAGCGGGAAACTGACCCACTTTGATGACGGGGGAGATCGGTCGGGTGCGGGGGGTGGAGGAAAGGAGGGGAGTGAGTGGGACAGGTGCCGAGAGCAGGGTCAGGACTCCTGGGTTCTATCCCCAGCTCCGGGGAGTGGGGTCTAGTGGTTAGAGCAGGGGGGCTGGGAATCAGGACTTTCCCCTCATCCATCGGACCGCACTACCCTGCAGCCTGGGCCAGCCAGGAGACAGGAGCCGGGGCAGCCAGACATTGGTTGCACCTCAGACAATCGGCTGCTCAGGTGCCGGATAAGCCTCTGTAGCCACGTGCGGCACAGAACTACTCTTCTGCCATCAGCCATTGGAGGGGGCTCTCTGCTCGCCCCCCCCACTCTCAGAGCCAGAGAACCCAGGCATCCCAATACCCAGGTCCCTCTGCTCTAACCTCTAGACCCCACTCTCCTCCCACAGCTGGGGAGAGAACCCAGGAGTCCTGACTCCCAGCGCCTCCTTGCTCTAACCCCCAAGGAGCCATACCCCTCCAAGCGCCAGGAATAGAACCCAGGCGTCCTGGCCCTCAGTGGGCTCTGTGTGGAACCCTCCGGTTCCCACACTGACAACTGCCACTCTGGCAGGAAGTGCTTGGCACGGAGGGACCCTTTGCTGGGTTATTCCAGGCACATGGCTCCACTCCCTGCCGAGGTCTCAATCGCAGGAGTCACTCCGGCTCGGGGTGGGACCCTGGACAGGGGTCGCTGGCTAAGAGGGGCTGCCAGGCCCAGCTGCTCCTTCAGGGTCATCCCACCATGCACCCAGTGACCTCCCCCAGCCTGGCTCCGCGGGGAGATCTCCCCCTGCCCCCCCCAGCGACCTCCCCCGGCCTAGCTCCGCGGGGAGATCTCCCCCTGCCCCCCCCAGCGACCTCCCCCGGCCTAGCTCCACGGGGAGATCTCCCCCTGCCCCCCCAGTGACCTCCCCCGGCCTAGC